TCTCTACACAATAACGAAACCTGTGGGAAATTTTCAATGATTGCTTCGCAAATTGCACACGGAATTCATTGTTCTATCTTGGATGTACCGATTTTTCTGCAGCTCTATTTTTGTAGACTTTCGTGTGCTTCGTGCATCTTTCAGACATAGGCATTTTCCGCCGATCTCTGCAACTGTGGGGCGCTTGCCGTGGGCTGCCTGGTTTCTTGCGTGCCCCTGGGAGGTGCGGTAGCTGCTGATCTGGGCATCACGGGTATTTGAGTGCTGGGCGCTAACGTGCCCCAACCTCTGCTCAATCATAAAGGGGCATGTCCCATTCTTGATCAGCTCGTATTCTTGCGTTTTCTTGAAATCTGCTCGCAAAATTTGTAGGGCACCGTGGGCAATCTTGCTCAAGAAAATAGGGTACCGTAGCCAATCTTGCTCAAGAAAGGAGGTTCCATCATTCAATGGCACGGGGACTTTGTATGGAGGAAAATAATAGCAGTGTTAGTGTCAGTTCAAATATGTGCGCAGGCCGTCAAAAATGACCAACCAGCCGTGCCATCTGTAGCGACCGTTTCCCACCCACCCGGAGTTGGTGTTCAACCCACATGCAAAGCCAAATCAACTCTCCCCACTAGGAGAAAAGGACCAAATAACCGTGTTCAAACGTGTACAATGTTCACGTGTTTGGGTTATTTTCGTGTTTTTAGCTTGCAAAACACTGATGAAATGCATACATGTGTGTTCGCAAAAAGTTTTATTTGGTCCCTTTTTTGCTGCTGCCCATGCTTGAACTTCCATCCCAGCTTGGCTCTTCAGTATCAGCCATAATGTGGACCCAAGGTACGGCCCAATGCGGTGCACTTGAAGCCAAATCGTGTTGTTGGAGGTGCCCTCTACTCTCGCAAGCGCAGCTACACACGAATCTTCAATAGTGGCAGATTGGATCTTAGTACAGTCACAGTGTTTGAAAGTCAAAGATGTCCGTTGCTTGGTGGCGGAGGAAACATTTTGATCCTTATGTAGAATAATGCAAATAATTACAAATTCTGCCAGTATGAAGGTGCCACAAGATGAGGGGATGCCGTAGGGTGTGCTGTAAAATCTGAAAGAAAAGGCAAATATTAGGACCTAACATAATAGAGTACGTTCGGCGATACAATTTGATGAATATTTTGGCAAAAGCTTGAAAAGGTTGTAGAACCAATTACACTGCTCATATCAATTGCATTGCTCATATAAAGTAAATGATGAAATATATTTGCAGTCAAAATGTTGAAACGACAGAACAATACTTCCCATAATCAGTTTCAATTGTAATCTGAAAACTGGAGAAACTGGTAGGTATGGTAATATAGTATGTATTTAAGCAAGATACAGATCTAGAGTTTGATTGGTGGAAGCCGCACCGCAATAGCCATCGCCTGACTGGAGCATTGTCAACTTGACTACAGATATGGCACCGCCCTCAACCCAGGCTGAGTCACGCGTGACATGTCTACTCAGGCGGAACGTCCCTTTAATCAACTCATAGTTCGCATTTTGCACTCGCTGAGGTGAAGTGGCTGCCTTGCGCTTTTGACGGTGACACTCCTGGCTGCAATGATTATCAGAGGCTTCCTGCCTGCTGCATATGGCGACACACAGCACCTGCGCGTCGCCTATCATGGGCTCATAATGAGAAGTCCACTGCACACGGGAGCGCGTGAACAGACCCTGCAGATGGAGACGACCCGGACCTAATTTCCAACCCTCATCTTTTCGCACAACAACCCACCAGCGTGTCCACATTGTGACTGATGGACAGCTCTCCAAGGCACCTTCAGCAGCCTTCTAAAGGATCGAAGATTGGATAGACCTGCAAGCTTGCAGGTCTCTTAAGAGTACACGGCATGCGCAAATGCTCCAAACCATGCGAGTTCAGCTAGGATTCCTTGTTGGCCCTCTGGCTCGTCTTCTTTGGGAGAAAGCCAACATGGAATGTGCGCAGTATCGCCCCGGTGTGACGCAGATAACACATTATTGTCACGCCATCGCCGACGTGTTTCCAGCCGCTCCAGCTGGCGCGCAGCTTTCCTGTACCTCCCTGTGCCGGTACACAGGTTGCGATCTTGGGGTGACGGGCAACTTCCATACGGTCACCGTAGATTGGAGCTTTGGTTGGCGATTGCTGCTCTGTGAAGGGGCACGTCCGCCATTGGGTATTGGTTACCCGCCCGTTACTCCTTGGATTGCCGAGACAATCGTGATGGAACAGGAACAAGACGCAAATCGCAAGGGGCGGGAAAAAAACAGAGAGCCAAGCCTGGCGAGGTGTCCACCAAACGGAGGAGCGCGGCTCCAAACGCGCAGCCCACCAGACCTATGCGAACATCGCATGGCAGGTGCAGCGCATTGCGGTCAAAGCACACAGACACAGCTCGCCTTCTCTCGCCGCGGCCTGTCCGGCGCTGCTGCCGTTGAGGTGGACGATGGGATGTTGCCAGCGATGCACGCCGCGTCGGGTCCACTCAGTGCGCGGGAATCCAAACACACTGGGGCCTGTCCAGCGCGCCGCTGCAGACGTGCTCATGGCATCCATGCCTTTTCGTGGATGCCATGTATGGGGTCCCTCCTTTTGGCACAGTGGGCGAGCCCTGCGCTGTGTAGGCAAAAGAAATGACACTTGCAGACTCTGCAAGGTAACCAGCATGTCACACACTACTACATCCCCTGCCCTCATGGCTTGCATTAGTGTGAAGATCGTCTTCTGGAGCTTGTCAAACATTGACAGCATCAGAAAATGACATTGACAGATGCGACAGATGCCTGCTGCCGCATTTTGCCATGTGAGCGCTCTCAACCCCAGGTACGTTCTCCGCCGGTGACTGGTCGACCTGCGGCTGGTTTTCGATCTGATGACATGACAACTCTCCAAGATTTGCGGCGTTTGTACATGCCCAGTACCTGATCGCTGCAGACTGCCTACCCAGAAGCAGCAACGGTGTGAAACACCACTGGAATAACTGGAAATTCCTCAAACAACTGGCAGGGTGCCCTGCCACAGGGAGCTCCTGGTGGTCGTGGGCCGACGCATTTGTTATCAAGAGCAGCATGGACGGTCGGGAGCAGGGAAGAGTGGACATTGGCCAGCCGCATTGCGGTCAGCAGCGAATGCAAGGGGCTCCACGGAGGTTGCGTGTGGCAGCACTTGGAGATAGGGCCAGACAGCATGGGAGTACGCTCTCGAAGGGTGCGTTGTGCACACGACAGCAGCTGTCGCCATGAGACAGTAGTGCTGGTGTCCTTCATATTTCAGCTGCCGTTGAACTTGAGCACCAAATTAGGGGAATTGAGAGCAGATTGGGTATTCATGGGTGACGTCACTCGACGGTCGAGCGACGCCCTGGACAGCGGCATACAGATACCTGCATGTGAGGCAGAACGGAAGGAACAATAGGAAGAAGAAAAGAAAACAAGCAGACATTCAAAAAGGAGAGGAACGAAATGGAAAGAGAAGGAAAATCGCGTTGATGACACAGAACAGTGGACGAAAGGGAGGACGAAGAGCCAGCAGGGGGTGCCCCTTATCCTCCAGCACGTTTGTCGACGAAGAATACGAGACCTTCACAAGCTTACAGTTGCAAGTTTGCCCCCAGGGGCGTTCTTCAGCGTTGAATTTCCCAAATCACACATCTAGCACTGAAAGAATTCCTCAGCAACAAGCCTGCTCGAGATTTCCCCCACATTTGAACTTTGCCCCTGCTGAGTACAAATGCAGTTCAACGATTTCCACTGAGTCCCACACTTGTTGATGAGCAGGCCATTTTCCTGATGGACTAGATGCACATAAGAAGCAATGCATTTGTCATGGCCGCTGAAACTGTTCCGTTTTCTGAATGGTTGCTGAAAGCTGGTCATCTTGCGACTGCGGCTGTCAAGCACTGACACCCGACCGCAGTCACGCTGCGCACGCCAAGGCACGGGGGGGGGCAGCCGTCAGCCGTACCTTCGCCTCCAAGCTTCGACGCTTGCGGCCAAGCGAATCAAGCAACGGTGCCGTCGTCGTGAGTTCCGCCCTTTGGCTGCCACCACGCATGGCGCGCGCGCTCCGGCCCCCCCCCTCCCCCCCCTCCCCCCCTCCCCGCGGGTGCAAATGCAGCGCTAAATGGCGAAAGTAGTCCGCCAGAAACTTACCAAGAGCAAGCCAATGTCTCTCTTCCACAGTTGTTTAGAATGAGGGCCTTCCTCCTGCCCAGCCTTCCAGACATTTAAAAAGGGTGCGCCGTTCGCCATCTCCCGGTGGGTACCGTCCTGGCTTTCAATGCTGTGCTGACCAGAATGTGGCAATCCTGCCTCCACGGAAGGCTGGCCTTCATGTTCAGGTGGCACAGCCCTGCACGCGACGCACTTGCCCCACGTTGAGCCGTAGTCGAATCCCACTGCAAAATTTGGTAGTGGTCCAACCCTGTTTAAGTTCTCCGCAGTGCCCCTGGTCAGTCACAGCTATGCAGTCCTATTTTGCACGTCACTTGTGTGTTTTCGGGGCACGGGAGCTGTGTACAAGAGCCGTGTCCTGCAAAGGAGAATGGTAGGCACAATTGGCAAAGAGGAAAGATTCTCTAGCTCAGGGCTGTGGTCACCATCGAGAATCACAATCAATAGCTGGGTAAGAGCTGGTGGCTGGGTCAGAGCTGGTGGAGTATGCTTCCAGGCAATTAGGATGGTTCAAAGTTTCTGGGCCTGTATCCGCAGCTGAATGGAAGGCAGCAGCAAGGGCAAGCAAGTGCTGAGGTGTGAGTCTGTGTCACTGTATTACAAATGAACTGCAAGGGGCCACAGGGCAGATGAACAACATGCAAACTGAACTGACTGGTTTTGACGCTGGTTGATTATGCGCAGAGTTGTCTTGCCATTTGTGCTATTTGTGTACTGATTGGAGACCTCTTGCTGGCAGTCATGTCCCTAAGGACAGTTTCGTATCTTCTACGTGTGAGGAGGACTGAAGGTGCAACAGAGTCTAGATTGTGTGAAACATGGGATCTCCGTCAGGCGCTTCAATGCAACAGGTTGGCATGCATCGCACACATCTGGATCTGTGGGGGAAGGCAGTTTCAAAGCACATGCATCCTTACATGCATCCTTTAGCAATACTGTGGACCCACAAGACGTTGTGGCACATTATTGTTCCTGTGCTTTGCACTCCACACACCAAGCGATCACAATGCCCTTGTAAATTCGTTATGCAAAACTTTCTAACCAGCTGCACTTGCTGGCCAGCAGACTTTATTGCCAGACTTTAGGGCATTGTCGATGAGCACGATGGTGGTATAGCAGGCAAATATTGAAAACAAGAATAGCATGGGCCCTTTAGTTTGGGTACCATTGCTATTTCATATCTCTTGATGTAGTATAATTCCCGCAACAGCTGAAGGCCACAGTAGGAGGCTTCTGGCTCAACGAATCGCCAGAGCATGTGTGAAAGCATAGAACAGTCAGCATGCACCAAAAGGGAGCAGCAGGAGCCTCCTATGTCAGAATCGAATGTAGCATCCACATTTCTGCTGCACCTCATACTCATGATGGGTAAGGGTGCTGACATCGAACCATGCCGTGAGGTGACCCAAGTCGAACTCCACAGCTGACAACAATGTCATCGTGCCCTTCTGATCAGGGTACATGGGTGGCAGGGGATGCCAAAAACAGGTGCTGGCCAAGGTAGAGATCAGCATCAGGAGATGGACAGCAACTTCAGCAAATATGATTTGGTTTGACAGAATTGCCTCCATGGAAAAGAATTCACTTCAAAGTTGTCTTTGCCCTTAGTTGAGTACATCAAAACGTATATGCATGAAAATGATTGTTCCCAAAACCTTGCTGAGTCTGCAGTGTGTGAAACTGTAAATTAGCCACTCTGGAAGTAATGGCCAAATTGCGATCGATGGATTGTCACAGTGTGCCATGCATCTTTTATGTTGACAAGGCAGTCTTGCTTCACGTATCTGACAAACAATTGGTTGAAGTTCCCCTATGCCCTGTGGACCCAATGTATTGGCCCATCCCTGTGATTAGTTCCAGCACAAAATGCCTACTTCATCATGCCACCAACTTTTCAACAGCAATTCAGTGTCCTTCCACTGGAGTTTCTTTAGAGTGATTGCCATCCTCATGCCTAATCTTCCAGGAGTTCTGAATAAGGCGATGGGCATATAGTGACACACTCTTCTTCCTGGTGATCACCATTCTTTCTTCCATTAGGGTCTGTTGTCCAGAGCAAGAGGGCTGCGCTGTTGATTGGCAGGATATATGCTGTTGATTTATGCTGTTGGTCAGGTCTCTTCGAGAAACTTCCTTGCTCCACTCATCAACCGCTCCAAAGCAGCAGATTTTGCGTGAACATTGCAAATTTGAGACGCAAAGCACTGGGATGCATGATAGTTGCATGCCTTCTTTTAGTGGATGAATTGCCTCTCTGTGACTTGTCTTCTCCTCTGGTGAACCCATCGTCGAAACGTGTGCCACATACCCAGCCCACGATGGACTTGACGCCCAAGTGTTTGTGCTTGCAATATCAACTTTCCGCATGAATCGTCATGTAGCCCATTCAGCCCTAAAGTTTTGTATTGATTTCATAGGACTTGGAGGCACTTGCAGACTGGGGCCAATTGTCTGTCGACGTCCTGGATGCCATTGTGGAGGTGGTGAAGAGGTCATGGACCCAGGCCAGCATCAGGTGGCTGCTGCAATCAGCTCGGCTTGTCAACAGCCATTGGGGCCGTTGGGCCACAGGGGCGGTCACCAGTGTACAGGCGGTAGTGGCTACATGTGATTTCCACAACCTGAATGCCGCGTGTGTCGCCAGAAAATTCTCTGGGGTGCGTTCATTGGCCATCGCATCGAAAAACGTTAATGATGTATGGGCGGTGATGGATGTGGGGGACTCGGGTTTGATTAACATGGTAAAACACTACTGGTTTGCACTGCAGTTGTTGGCAAAATTGGAGCAGCTGACATCTTTGGATGTGATGAATTTTCCTATACCGGAACGTTCATTGTTGGCAAAAGCTGGAAAACTGAAACATCTCAGCAGATTGCGTTTAGATCAGTGTGGTCCACTCGCCAGTGATAACCTGGTGCGCCTGTGCTCTACCACGTCCCTCACCAATCTCACTGTGAATTCTGTCAAGATGAGGCCCGACGTATTGGAGTGCTTGACAAAAGTGACGTCCATCACATGTCTGGATGTGCGCTTTTGCGACCTGAGCAACGACCAACTCGCTGTTTTGGCAACTATGACGCTGCTCAAGCAATTGCAGTTGTCAGGTGAGATGTCAGACGATGGGCTGGCGTGCATAGGCCATTTAAAGCGCCTCACCCACTTGGGCATGGCGCCATCCCACCTCATTTCACATGACGGTTTCAAGCACATGCAGAGGCTGCCAGCACTGAATGGGTTGGACTTGTTCCCGGCACATGTGAGACACCTTGGGCATGCACGCGATTTCTCCTTTAACTGGGTAACACAGATGGCGCACCTGACTCGCTTGGGTCTTCGCGGGTTTGACTACACCAAGAATGCGAGCCTCACCATCCTTGATGATCTTCCACATCTCAGGCATCTTGACATCACGTCGTGTGAGCTAAAGAGGGATGGCTTGGCGCCAGTGGGGAATCTGACTTGCCTCAGACACCTGAATGTATCCCGAATCTTCGGTCCCCCCCACCGTCACAAGGCGGAATACATAAGCAGATTGTCCCACCTGGAGGTTTTGGCAGTGTCTGGAGACGCTTGTTTTGATGATGGCTGGCTGGAATGCTTGGGGAAGTTGCCAATGCTCACAAAGCTGGATTTCAACAGATGTTGTGGCATCACAGATGAGGTGCTGGGACGGCTTGAATCATTGACGGGTCTGAGGCACATTGAAGTGTCCAATTGTAGCAGGGTGACCACTACTGGAGTGCAGCGTCTACGGGATGCACCTCGAATTCCGGGCTGTGTTGTGGAGGGGTGAGAGGTGGCTCGCTGGGCTTTTGGTGTGCAGCGTGGGCAAGGACGCTTTGCAGCATCGATGTAATTGCGATGGTGCTCTGAACTGTAAAACAGTGCCGCACAGTCTGCTGCACCGCCCTGTGGCCCTTCTCTGTGCCCGTGGACATACCAGGGACGACCGTCGCCACCATGTCGATGGACATAGAGCAACGAAGGGTGCCGGCATCTTCAGCAAGATTGGGCATCGAGACGATCTTAGCGATAGGACTGGTTATTGGCAACATGCGCCGTTTATGGCAGTCGCTCAAAGGTGTTACTACTGTCCTTTGGCGGACATCGCGTCACTGTGCAGAGCATGTATGGTGACGTCAGACAGGTGAAATCCTCTAGGCCTGATGGATACGCCATCCTTCGGCCCGTGTATGTACTTCTATCCTTGTTACTGGCTTTGTTCTATTTATGCGCGATCACGCGGCATTCGGCGATACCTATGTCGATGGCTTCTTGATGAGGTTGCCGTAGGAAATGCCAACAAGAGTGAGAATGCATCAGCACCTGATATCGTAAGCAAATATTCCTATCCAACGAGATTGGCGCCCACAGTTTGGGAGAGGCTGTGCACCGTGTACAGCACGCCTCTTCCCCAAGCTTAGGAGCCTCGAGGAAGTTGACCGCAATACATTGTGAAGTCGACCCGATCGTATGCTCAACAAGCAGCCGCAGTTTACACGTTAGCACGTAAACACATACGAAAACAAGCATGTTGCGGTAAGCGCGGAGACCATGCATGTGCAGTAACCTGTGGACAACCTCAACAGCAACTGCCGGTGCACGAGTATGTGGCTGTTCAACATTAATTGTACAGCACTGAAGTTTTAAGCTCTCGTGTGACAGAATATGCAGCCGTACACCACAGCAAGCCAACACCGGGAGCGAAAGTGCCACTCGAGATCCAGCAACGCTGGACACGTTCGCCCGTGCAGAGTGCGTGTAACAGAACAAATGTCACCAGGTGACATACAGGTTCGATGAAACGAGGGCCAAAATCCAATTGACGAACGGCGGGCAAGGGGTCATTTCAATATAACAGATGTCCGAATCTATTCCACACCATGCGGGGATCCACAAGATGCCAGTGAGAATTCCGGATTGTGAATACAGCATTTGTCACCGAGGCGGTCATCGAGCATGGTCAAACGCGCTTTGCTCAAGTGTGCAACATAGAATTTGGAACAGATTTGCAGTGCATGCAGCAACCTCGGCGGAATGCTCTGTAATGCTCTTGCAATGCTCGTGGCACAGCAGACATGATCGTTTCGACAACAGATAAGTTCGGAAGAAACCGCTATCAGAAGACAATATCAAGGAAACCCTGACTGAAATTGGGATTTCTTTAACCGTCAAGCTCAGCACCGGCCTGAGAATCGGCTACACCATGAGCTCTATCCAGAAGTCCTTCACCGCTCCAGCACATGAATCACAGTACTGCCACAACATTGCTCCAATTCACGGTGTCGCTGTGTAAATCATGGGTCCATCAACAAACGAACGCCAAATCAACAAATTGGCCATTTCTCAAATGAGTGTATACATCAGCCCGCAGAATAAGATACATAGTCTCATAACCAGTTCAAGAACACCTCATAACTCGTCAGAGATCTGCCATCTCAGCACGAAGCAATATACTAATCCTCTTTTCGACCACAAATCCACATACAGGACCTGTATATACACATAACTTACACATCTGTTAGTATTTCGCAGCCTTGCCGAGAATCACTTCATCAAATAACGGTCAGAGACTTCTAAACGGAGGCAATCACCAACAACAATTGTCCGACCAGCCGAAGTAAATGAATGTGCCAGGTTTTGTTCAGCTTGTTGAGAAGAAAAGAAGTCCGGCAATTCGAATTCACATCACCATAGAATGGCCCCGGAGGTGCTGGTCCGACGCTCCAAGGAGACACACTTAAACCTTGTGTACGCTGGTCCAACTTTCCACGACAAAAACACGACGAAGGGGTATCAGACGAACACGTAGGATGCACGAACAAATCGTCTTACAAATCTTCAGACCATGAATATAGAGTGTTGCATCTTAGATGCGTGTGATAGATTACCTAATACAGATTCTCTGAAGTTGGGTGGGCTTAAAGCATGTTGAGGCTGTATGGAAATAGAGATGCTTTGCCGAGATGAAACATTTATTCACGCAGAACACGTTAAGTGTATTGAAGCACTGGTGGTGCCGAAGGTGCCACAAGTTTGTCATTGGCAGTTAGTTCAATTTTCAGTTTGGAAAACGCGCTGCCATCGAACCTTGAAGGCTCTTGGAGGCGCTTTTGGGAGCCCAATGACCTCAGCACCGATATCTGCAATCATCATGCCAACCATCGAAATGGAAGAAGCGTCTGCTAGCCATCAAAGTCTTTTTATCTCCTAGAGCCTGCCCAAATCATGGCAATATGGGGATGTGATATAGGTGCAATTGCTTAAAACATTTTGGAAAGATTGGACCAACTTAGTAATACAAATTGATAATCCTGTGATTTCTTTCCAGCAATTTGTTTATGGGAAACCCTGGCTACTTCAACTCCACTCGGTTGAATTCCAGTGAATACCTCACTGAATGCCTTGGATGGGCATCAGTATGTCCGTCAACGCCTCTGAAAACTCGAAGCTTACCATGCTTCGGGAAAAAAACTTACTTACAACACTGGGAGATGCCGACATATCAAATTGCTCGGTATGCCACATGATATTCCGGCTTCGGTGGAGAGCCCTGTTGTCTACACTCCGCAAATCCACTTTTCATTTTCGATAAAGCACATGGCTTGTGGAAATGAACAACTACTCTCTGACACTGTACTACAATCGAAAATGCAGGGATCCGCAAGAGAAGCTCTTCGCTGGCTTTTCCGGTCCATTTCATGCTGCCAAACGATGCGTATGTGAATCTGTGCCGGGCGATGCATTGTCGCACAGGTTTGTTCGTCAACAAGGACCTCTCATCAGTGGCAAGGAATCTAGGAGATATTGCACATCGAGAGGGTCATGGCCTCAATAGGATTCAAGTGTATGAAATAAGGTTCCCTTGTCTGGTTTATTAGGGTTGTTGATGCAATTCCTGGAATTGCGTCAATGACCCTAATGCAACAGGCTGGTGCGCAAAGGTGTTTTCTCGCCAGTGGCCGGGAGCTATGAATCATGACAGGGGCGTTGTTCTGGCAATCTTACCGATTATTTGCCCAACAATGCATAATTCAGCATGTCTTGGATGCCGACATTGTTGTGGCATTTTTCAGGCTGTAGTGATTGGCATCAACAAAGTCAGTACGCTGCTCCTGCTTGTGAATTCAATGGTTTAAAAATCT